ATCATTTATTTTTTTTGTAATATCTTCATTTCTTTTCATTAAATCTTGTTTATCATTTAATAATGCAAGATTTCTTTGCAATAAATTTGAATTTTCTTGTAATGAATCATTATATTTTTTCAAAAGTAAATCACCTCCAGTTAAAGATATTTTTAACGCAATAATATTTCTTTATTTATATTTATATAAAATATTAAATAAATAAGATAAACAATTTGTATTACATATGTAAATCTATATTTTAATTCTTATACTAGCGTCTGCTTTGCCAGCGACGCATTAATCACTTCTTTTTTGTCTAGTTTGCCACTGACAAAAAATAGTGAGTGCCTCTGAATTTAATAAATCCTCTCTCTCCCTCCTCCTTGCAGTGTAAGTTCAATTAGAATTTTTACGATGTTTCAAATGCCTCGTGCTTATGTCATGTGAGAATTAAAAATTCTCACATGAAAATGCTACTCATTTTCAAAACATCTCAAAATTTATTAAAAAATATAAAAAAAACTTTTAAAATTTATTTAAAATAATCTGTTATTTTCTTTTTTTTAACTTCAACTTCTTTTACAAATTCTTTCAATAATCCTTGTTTTGCTAATCTATCTACTTGTTCATTATCATAATTTCCTTGATGTCCACGTATATGAATAAATTTTATAGTTCCAATACGATTTTCTATTAATCTTTTCATTTTAACAAATAAATCTTTATTCTTTATAGATGTATTACAAGATGTCATCCATCCATTTTTTTCCCACTTATTAATCCATTTTTCATATGCATTAATTACATATTTACTATCAGTTATTATTTCTAATTTCTTTTTTTTATCTTCACAAATTTCTAATGCTCTAATTACAGCAAATATCTCTGCACGGTTATTTGTCTGTTCACTTCCTGGGAGACGTTCACTCAGATTTTTTGAATCATTTTTTTTCCAAAATACTCCTATACCTGCTCGAGCATTATTACTTCCATTATCAAATGTACTTCTATCTGTTCAAACCTGAAGAGCATTTGGATCAATATCAATTGTTTCTTTTTCTCCTTTAATATATCATTTTGCTTGATCTTTGTAATCAAATCTTTTATATCTTGCATTTGAGAATCCATCAACTTGCAACTTATAATCTTCCCAAGTTAAATAGATTCCTTGTCTTCTTCCTACACAAACGGCATAATATCCTGGTTTAGATTTTCCCATTTCTGAGTTTATATCATAAATAATTCAAGTAAATAAATCACAATTATGAATACCAGTTGTTTTGCATGTCGTCAGTCAATCGTATCATTATAAATTCAGAGGCAGAAGTAAGAGTTAGTGAATGTATTTATTAGATGATAAATAAGAAAACACAGTGACGACTCTCTTACCTTATAGATTTTGATGAATTTGATTTTTATCTGGTTTTCTTTTTAAACTAGATAAAGATGAAGGTGAAAACTAGGTCTTTATATAATTGTTTAGAGCTAAGCCACAATTTCAAAAGCTATAAAAGATTGATAAAATATCTGATATGTAAAGAAAAATGCCAAATATAAAATTCACACAGTATCAGAAATTTGATAACAATAAAGATATTAAGATACTAGACTATGCTGAGATTATAAAATT